CTAGATCAAATGAATCTAGAGTAATCACGTGGTTGTCTTTTCGAAATAGTGTAAAAGGTACATTTCCAGAATGAATTTAAAAAAATAGATCAAATTCACTATGCCACTATTGCATTTCTACAGTTTGTAACATATACCGATCTATTCGATTACCTAGGTCTCAAATACAACCAGAAAATGAAAAACAACTTTGCTGCAATATCAAAATCTCATATTTGAGTCACTAAAATGGCCGTTTGCACCGACAAATTTAAGTGAAGCTTAGCTTAAGCGTAGCTTAAAATCCATGGCAACCATTGTCTCAATAATCGTTACCATGGATTTTAAGCTACGCTTAAGCTAAGCTTCACTTAAATTTGTCGGTGCAAACGGCCATAAGACACAAAATTAAATTGACGGTGTAAACATAGTAAAGAACAAACAGAGTTAGTCAAATTTATTATTAAAATTGACATATTTCAGGTGGGCGTCGTCCTGTAGTTATGCGTTCTCTTTCCTTTGCTTGTGCATATGTTTAAATCCGCAGAGGACAATGCTTGCGTAAGTTTTTGAATTGGTATCTTCCTTTTGCTTAGCGCATTCGTCGATGAATGAGCAATCTTTACCAGACGCCTCGCACTTTGCCTTCCATTTACTAAAATCCAAAGAACCGTCATCTTTCAAAGTACCGGTATTTTTCAAAATGCACTCGCTGAATTTTTGATATTTCTCATCATTGATGCCGTTCTCCTTTATCGCCTTTACGAATGACTCCTTATCTGCGAAACCGGCACTTTCTCCGCAATCCTTCATCATCTTCTTAAAATCATCTTCTTGCTAAAAACTAGCTGTGCTTAAACTACGCTAGTTATTTTAAACGGTACTCACCCCACGGGCAACTGCTACGAAGCAGGTGATGACTACTACAATAAAGGCCTTCATGTTACTGGATGCGTTTACCACTAAACCTGCCGTGTTATATACAAATAGGGAACAACACATTTCTGCTTCGTAGAGTCATATAATCATTTTGATTTCAATTTCAATGAAACCATTTTAGAATAATTACGAAAAAAACCGTACCCGTTTTTTAAGGAAAAATTCGAATGAAGGACATATAACGTTGGTAATTTCGCAATAAATACAATTAGTGAATCAAGTCAAATAGATTAGATGATTTTTGATATTATTTGACTTGACCTGAAAATTAAGTATTTCAAAAACTTAACATAAAGCTACTTGACTTCACTTAGTAGTGAATCTCTACTTACATACGTATTCCCTACTCAAGTTCAGATAATTCACTCTTACACATATGGGGGTTGTAACTTTTGTGGTACATACATTCTTTCATCGATGACGTTTAAATGATTTACAAAGAACCATGCATTCCTTCCGAAAAATAAAATCCTAAACCGTTTTCAAGTTACACATTTTCATGAGAAAACATTCTTTTACATGTTAGCAATTTCAATTGTAGGGGTATAACTCTTGTGGCTCACCACTCGCTAGCAAAGGCTTGCAAAATGCTGTTCATAAGAACAATGTAAGAAGGAAATTATTCTATAATCCGACTTTGTGGTTTAATGGCAGAGCATTGGGCTATAAATTCGGAGGTGGAGTGTTCGAACCTGGACTTGAGGTAAGAATTTTTCATCTGTGACAGAGATAGGAATGTCCTTAGACCAGTTTGGAGCATTCTTCCGGCTATTCCGAATTAGGTTTTCCTGCAGTTTTCCTAATTGGTAAGGTAAATATCGGAGTAGTATAGAACAACTTAAGACCTTCTGCAGAGGCACTTCTAAAAAGCTTTATGCGGGTCACTCTGTAATTGGGCGCAAGCCTGTCGAGGGCCCAGAACAAGAGAGAGATAATAAATAAATAAATAAAACATCTAAACAAAAATAACCAAAACTCGAATCAAATAAACTCAAAACGCAAATTCAAAAGCGCTAATACTATCTCCCTGTGCATTTTTCCCGCACAGAATCAGTAATAACTCCGGAAGGAAGTCACCAATCCAAATAAACTTTTGTCCATTCTGTTTTCTGTGCTGTACTACACCGCATAAGAAAGAAACCACAACGAAAAAGCTTAAACTGGAGCACTAGTAATGGAACAGACGAACAACGCGCGGACAATAGCGTTTCATTTTCCTTTTCAAAAAAAGCGCTAAAAACTATGTATAAACTTTAGACGACGGCGATGAAACAAACGTCACTTGGAACTGGAAAAGAAATCCTATGGCAAAGTTGGCAATTAGACGGTTAGACCATAACACACTGCATGAAATATTTCATTTCCAATTGTTCATATGATTTTCAACCATTTTGGACAGATATATAACTACTGCCTTGTTTCACTCGTTTTATTATCCAGGCTAGTGTCAGCGAGGGATAGCGGCATAAGTTTGCTTGGGTGTTTTTCCTTTCAAGTTTGCACAATCTTCAATGAATGGGCAATCTTGCGCTTTGTATAAGCTGAAATCAATCGAGCCGTCTGTTTTCAATGCGCCCATTTCTCGAAAAATACATTCTCCTAATCTCTGTGAAGGTGGAAACAAACGTATGCATATGCTCTGGTTTCACATCTTGGAAAAGACGCATTTCGAATTCTGTTACACGTATACATCTCGCCATTATGGAGTTATATTGTCTCCAATCCATCTACAAGCAATATAGTTGATCATCCTTACTTAGTATTAAGGGTAGGTACATACGGCATCAGTAAACGCCATGAAGCAGACGAGGATTACAATAAAGAAGGTATTCATTTAACATATGCGAAGTACGATTTAATTCCTGATTTATATGAAAATCGGTGTCCTCAGGTGAATAAAGAACCTCATGCATTGTGCCAATGTGTAGAACCAATTGAATAGTTCCACAATGGATGATTAATTGAATGCAATTGCGTAATCGAACACGTAAAACCCTTTTAGTTAACCAACAATCAACAAATATAAGTATACAAAAAGCTTTTCGTTTTTACGAAGCAAGGGAAAATGGTTTGATGGAATACTCTATTGGCGTGATAATTCGCCGACCCCTTGGTAGGAGGATGGGAAGAAAGATCAGGTTGAGTAGAGGGCGTACGATATACTGTAACGAAGCACCCGTTTTCTGCTTTGAAGTTTACATACTTTCTTGACCGCCCGGTATCTGGAGGCTGGAGGTATCTTTTGCAACAATGGGGGTTAATTAGACATATGAATTTAGAAATATTATTCGCCAAATTAAGTAAGTGTAATTAGCGGTAGCTGATTAAATGAAATATAGGGGTCTCAAAAGAAGCGCTCTTAATTAATTTAGGGCCACAGAATTTTAGCCCGTCCGAATGGCGCACAATTAAGGAAGTTTCAATTTTTGGATGTAGATAACCGAATACAGATATTATTAATAGTATTCGAGGTATGAGCAAAAATCTGAAAAACGAAACCTTTTGCCCGATCACCCCTCACCCTCTGAACTGAACTCTTAGTCTTCACACCCCAAAGACCAACTTGTGTGACGTAATCTTTTCCGGAAATATGACATGTTTCGTTCTGAAACATTCGAACAGACTCGCTAACACTCGAGCAAATCCCTGGTTTCTAGTCTATAACTTCTGATTGAGAAGTCTGATCGAAAAAGTACGAATTGTTTTGGATTCTACGCACCAAAATTAATAAGAAAATGTGTTTTCCCGAGAAATTTTGGTGTAGTCGATTTTTGGTAAAAAAAGGAAAGTTATACAGTGCCTTTTTTTGAGGCCCGCAAAAAAAATTGTCTCGGATCGACCCGGAAAAAAAATTTCTTATAGAATGTGGCCTGTAGAATCCATAATTTCAAACAGTTCCAAGATTGGGCTACTATTTCAAAAGTTACAGCCCTTTGAATTTTCTTTCGAAATTGGTTTCTAGCAGGGGTAAATCTAATTGCGTTTCAGTTGAGTACGACGAAGTAGTAAATAGTTCGCGCTGTTATAAATTGGCTATAATATGTGAGTGCTAAATGATAATTTTAGCTGGTCAAGCTGAAGCAAAAGCCGCTTAACGCTTGGACACTCTGTTTCTCATCTTGAGTCATATCTTTTATTTTTTGTTGACCTTCAATTTTAGCTCCTACTTTAGCTTCCATGGCCTGTTGACCGGCTTCCATCTTAACCTGTACAGTTTCTGTTTTAGCTTCGATCTCTTGTTGATCTGCTTTGTTTCAGCTTATTTGACCAGCTTCTATTGTAGATCCCGTGAGACAGAAAAGAAAATTGGCCCGACAGTACGGTGACCAATAGCGAGGGAAAACTACTCAAAGGAAAAGACCGAGCAAGTTGTACCCCGGTCCAGTTGTTCTCAGTGGAACTTGTTACGGTTAGAAGATGGTCTTCTGAAGAGGATTTTTTTATTTTTTATTTTATTTTGCCTTTATTTTTGAGTGGGCGGGGTTTCAGCCAAGGCTGCTCTACCAACCCAACCCACTATACATTTACAAATATCCATTCCCGAACCCGGATTCGAACCAGGGACCCCTTAGCACCACAGTCCAGCGTTAACTGAACTGCGCCACATGGGCCGGATTCTAGGAAATGATGATGGGATGACCACCAGGGTGCAGCTAGTGATCCCGGAGAGTAAGAAATCTGAAGTACCTACTACCACAAATGCACGATCGTATATGGAGGCCATCTAGGAGTAACGAAAACCCTGGTTAAGGTGTGGTCCAGAAAATGTGTAGTTCGTGCCACAAGCAACGGTCTAGTAGAAAAGAAGAAGGCACCAATGAGGCATAGATCGTATGTGTATCCAGTGTTAGCAGGAACCCCTTTAAATAATAATTTAATAATTTTATCATACCTATACATGTGAATATTTGCTACTAAAAGAACTAACCCAAAAGATGTTTGCAAAATTTGGGGGGGGGGGGGGGTTTCCTCACCATAGGGAAGAATTAAATGTCAACCACTTACTCTTAAATTCTATGATAGGCAATAATCTTCATTTTATGTTTGGTGATTCGTAACGAGATATGATAAGAGCTGTTATTTCATAGCGACAACGAGCAAAGTACACTACATGTGCGACCCTTTGTTTTAAATAGATCACTGGCGCAAATTAAAGATGAATTTAGGAGAAAGTGAGTTTTTTATTAGTGCCCGAAGCACAATTGCAAGGACCATCAAGTGAGGAATCTGTAATTGTTTTTCCTGGTTGGTCCATGATCATGAAAGCTACCAACAACTATAACAATAATACAACACTATCTTCACTATGTATGTAGTTACGCATAACATGATGTGATAAGTTACTGTTACTTCATAGTGAGAACGAGCAAAGTTCATTCCCCAAAACTCACACTTGCCTTGCTTAAAATGGAAAATCTCGGTAAACTGTTTTTTTTTAAATTGGGTAGGTACCGTATTAGGTAATCTCTCCCATATCTTTCAGAAACTGTGCAAGTTGAGGATGAGTGGTTGTACGTCAAATTTGGAGAACATGGGAGAAGGTTCTATTATTTGTGGCTGAGGGATAATTGCAAGTAAGTTAATTTCCCATAAATGTTAAGGTTTCTTTTGTACCTACTTGTACATTTTAGGTGCGAAAAATGTTACAGTACATTTTACAACCAAATTCTCTTTAACATTCTGGACATCCCCTCGGATATCAAACCAATTAGCTGTGAGATCGTCAAGGATAAATTACTTATAATCTGTACGTACTGGTAGTTACAGTAAAGTACAATTTAATCAATTTCACAAGTTACCAAGCTTTAAAAGAGCAAGAAATACTATCATGTTCCTCGCAGATGATTTCGTTGCTGATGCTGTTGCTGTACTTGTAACGATAGCCATTTTTTGTCAAAGTGGATGATTGATACATTCACCTTGGAAAATGTTACCATTTATATTCCTCTAATGCAAACATATTTGCTTTTCTTTGATGTTGTAAAGTTGAAGAAATCAATGTGGGACTATAAGTAAAAGTGGTGATGTTGCATGGAATCATTGAATAAAGAAACTAAAATTCAATGATGGAATCGAATGTGAACGTATATGGACTATCTACAGTGCTATTTATTAAAAAGTAGACATAGAGATTTACGTGTATTGTTTTTCCCTATGTCTACTTTTGAATGACAAAATCACTTCTGAAGGCGCCTTTTTACACGCATTTAGTTAGTACCATCATTTGAAAGATAGTTACCACTAATAAGAGTTGTTATTTAAATGATCTGTGCCGCCATTTTGGAAAACTGGGGCCATCTTGAATTTCTTAAGTGGCCACCGTTTTTATATAAAACAATACTCTTGTAGGAGCATTCATACCAGATTTCATGGTAGTTTCATCATTTGAAAGATACTTACTAGTGATAGTTAATATGTGTCGCCATCTTGGGAAACAGCGGCCATATTAAATTGTTTGTGACCAGCGTTTTTATATAAAACAATGCCCTTATTGGAGCATTGATAGCAAATTTCAGGCTTGTATCATTATCTGAACAATTCGAGTATTTTCTGGCACTACCTGCCCCACTACTTATGAAACTAGGGGAATAGATTTCATTATGGGTGTAGCCGTAGTATTTTTTTGTAGAGCACTGTTTTCTTAATGGATTCCGAATATCGAAAATTTGGATCATATTCAGATATTTTAACTATGTCTATTTGGTTACAACTGAGATCATTCTCTAGCGTAAAAAAGCAAAATCGGCATATTTGACGAGTACATAGAATTTAATTTATTACCATAACTCTATTTTGGTTCGTAGAGTGGAAACAAAAGAAACAGAATAAACGATTAAAGATATCCGTCTGCATTAATAACTTGCCAATTTGTAGGCGTTAATTAGTTAAAAAAATTAAGATGGGGATATGATATTTTTTGGATTCATTCGGTTTTGGGCAACGAGATAGTTGGTGCGTGGGTCAAGAGCATTAAACGCTGTGTTTAAGCTGCGAATGCATTAACCGACAGTCCAAAATAAAATTTAAATTCGGGCATAAAGGAACCCAGTACCGCTTGGGGGTATTTTGGGTTTCATCAGAACAAAATAGTAATAAACACGAGTTCCATTAGTTATAGTTAAAAGAGGAAAAAACTTTAAAGGACTAAGGGCTAAGCCACGTAAAAACAATATGGATTGTCGCGAGATTAAGAGGAAGTAATAAATCGTTAACGTCGACTACGTATGGAGATGAAACGAACCGTAGTCGGTTAAGGACAAACCAATTAAGCGTACTCGTACATTTTATCTACCATAAATAGCTAGGACCGCGAAAAAATAATTCAATATAGTGGTGTGTTGCCCGTGACCAAAGAAGGGTCGCACTCTGTCGTCGTACTCGTAAAATTATTACTGTAGTCGCAGTAGTTTCGAAACATTCCCCTAAAAAGCAAAAACGATCACATACCACTACGTTTTCATCGACTACTATAAATACATTTTTAGGGATGGACAAGCACAAGACCGAATATGAAATGAAATGGTTAGAAAGTATTACGTTTCCTCTTAAACATGCTTTAAAAACGATTTTGTGGGACAGGAAAGTAGTTCCGAAGAAGATCCCCCTTGAATTCTATTTGAACGACAAGGATGGTCTCAAGTCCCTAATCAGTGCTGTAACAACATATGGATTTGGTATTGTCACAGGGGTAAGATCAAAATAATGGAATGTAATAGTTTACATAGAAAATTCTGAGCTTTTGGTTCAACTGCTTATTTTCCCAATATTTTAGGTTCAAAATACATTAGAGGCGACTGAAAGTGTAGTGAGACATCTAGCATCCGTCCAGAAAACCTACTTTGGAGAAATGTGGAAAGTTACCACCGATAGTTCGTGCAACGATACATCTACAACGAACGTTGCATTACTGCCACACAACGATAATACATATTGGAGTAACGCGGCAGGGTAAATAATGAAATAGCTCCAATAACAGTACACCAAACTCGCCGTTAGCTTGCAGGTTTTCCATTTACTGAATCGCAATGGTGAAGGTGGGCATACGATTCTGGTCGACGGTTTTAACATCGCCGAGAAAGTACGGAAGAGAAACGTCGACTCCTTCAACTTGCTGTGCAATTCGGCGATCGAATCCCATTTTATCGATAAAGATCAGCATTACTTTTGCACAGATCCCGTGATCAAACTCCACAGCGCCACGAAGCAGCTTCATCAAATTCGGTAACGTGCCGAGTGTCAAGGTGACCGTACCGAATATTATACTTTCAGATTTAACGTTTATGACCGATCACCACTGGTGTCGCTGCCGGAAGGGGACATTCCCAGGTACTATGAAGCTTATAAGTTATTCGCGAGCGAGGCGTTCGATCGCGAAAATCAATACGAAATTCAATTGGAACCAGGCGATGTCATCTTCATTGATAATTGGAGGGTGTTACACGGCCGTAGGGAATTTATGGGCACAAGGGAGCTCGGGGGATGCTATGTGTCCAGAGATGACTACCTAAGTCGTGTTAAGCAGTTCTATCCAACGATCAATTAAATTTTACTAAAACTACCTTATTTTACAATGATTAAACGGAGCTCCATTTCTCCGAAACACTTCTCTCTCTCTCAAATTAAAAGGAAAAGACTAATAAATTAAACTGACCCGTCAATTATGGCTAACAATCAAACTTGGATCTTAGTACCTTTACCAATTAAGTTCGGTGGTCTCGGAAACCGAGTCGAAGCGAATATTTTGAACACGAAGTGTTGGAAGAGGGTACACATAAAGGATAGGTGGAACGTCAGGACGAGACATCTACTGGGGATGTCAAAACTTTCAGTCCAACGATCTGTAAAACGGAGTATCGAATGAGGGTACTCTCAAAGAACGGAAAGATCGCCTAAACAAGACACATCTACTGGCGATGTAAAAACTTAATTGTGAATATCTTGTTGGAGAAAGGTACTTACAAAGGGAAAATGCAATATTGCGGAGAATCTCTCTAAGGACTTGATTTATCTTTACATTTTGAATGTATACCAGGCAATCTTAAAATATGTATGTGTAAAGACCCCCTCCCCACTAATCATTTATCAAGAAATATATAGCATGCTACTACCATACAATGCTACTACCTTACAACCCAACCATTTACTAAGCTAATTCGGTTTTAAAAAATGTGTTTTGTAGAGTTGTGCACAATTCATACTTGTTTATTTAATATTAAGCAAGTAATGCGTCACGAATCATAAAGCAAAATTTAGAATTCACGATGCAAACACACAAATGGCGTACGTAAATTTTTATATGTACTTTTTATATTAGCATAACAGCAGTACCTTTTTACTAATATTCTTTATTTGACCATTAACAAAGAAGGGGCACACTTTTTTTGGGACGAATGGCGTATACGTATTTGTATGCTTTACATAACTCTATACGATTTATTCAAAACATTATTGGTACAATTTCGGATGGCCAATTTCGAGCAATAAATGATGATTACTATCGTGTTTACTGGATAGTAGATCTTCTCGTATTTTATAACACAATGAAGTTCCAAAATGAATGAGATTATTTTACTCTCCGCATCTCCGCTCCGTTGTAGCATCTAAAGTATTAGTCCTATCAAAACATTTTTGTTAAGTAGTCCATATTGTATAGAATTTAATGAAGAGTTCAAAAAACGCCCAAATTTTACAATTTTTATATGACAAATTCCAAAATCAGTTTTGGAATATCGTAAAAAAATGTTAAAACTTTCACGGCCTCTTTGATGTGGTCCGATCCTCATCGTGCTCTACCCCCCATCATCTTTTAGGTCATCTTCCATCTCCTTCATCAATTCGTTGCTGAGGTCGTCCTTTTCTTCCTCCAATGAATGAATAGTTCTTCCCCAACAGGAGCCTTTACAATTCAGGCAGATTGTCGAACAATTTAGTCCAGGGAATAAAGACTTTGAATTTCTTTTGCATGTTATAGACAGTGAGCTGGTGGTTAAGAATCTAAGTTTTCGACCTCCTACCCCTTGTGCTTCCCCCGTACCACCCACAAACCCCCCGAAATTTGGTTAGTTTCTTAGTTTTTCAGTCATATCTTTTAATGGTACACTTAAGAAAAGAATCACAGATTGTAGAACATAAAATTGTACATAACTTTATTATGTACTACTTTTTTGTAAAGTATTTATTAAAAAAGCTACAGAGCTTCAAAGTTGCATATATTTTGAAGAATTCTAAAATTTCTATTAGATATTTTAACGAAATTTTGTACCTTATGTCTATAATTAAGAGTCGTATGAGAAAATATCTTGAATTTATCGTGTGATAAATCCCTCCACTTTGCACCCCTACCAAAGGGGATGCATAATGATTCAACTTTCAACATCCTACTGGTGATATTTGAATCACTGTGATATTGAAGAGCTGTCTAATATACGTTTGATATAAAAAATTGCCTCACTTCAGTTTCCCCCCCTCCTCCACTCTTGTCCCAGTTTAACCCCCCCCCTCCACTGAAATTAATGATTGTTAAATCATCTGCTCGATCGCACTTAGGTAATGGCATTTCCGAATGCAAATTTCAAATTAAATATAAAATAATGACTTGTAAATTATGTTCGAAAAGGATACAATCTTAAATAATTGTACAATATCACAACTAAATACGGGATTGAAATAATCATCCCTTAGGATAGAAGGGGTTAAATTAAAATAAGATGATTTCATATTTGATTATTGTGTTCGAAAGTGCCATAATCACGCAGTGATTCAAATACCTACCACTATTAATAAGAGGTTGAATGGCTATCCATCCCCTTTGATAAGGGTGCAGGATGCGGAAATTAATAGCATCACAATTTTCTATTCGATATATTTTCTCACGTGACTCTTAATTATGGAGATAAAGCATAAAATTTCGCTAAAATGCATAGAATGGTTCAAAATACAGGGTGTCTTAGAACAACATGGCTATCTCTGTTATTATTATACTTACAGATTCCGTTATAAATTGACAAAGTATTGACATCAACTTCCTAATTTTAAATGGGCGCTATATTGGATTTTTACGTCACTCGATAGATAAAAAAATTGCAAAACCAGTAAACACAGTATTTCATTTGGTAATCAATCTTGCATTTTTGCCTCGAAGTTTACAATGTATTTCTTATGGCAATAATTCCATGGCCGTGTCGATTGTGCCTATGCGAGACAATAAACAAACGAATTTGGTTTCAATCACAACCAGCCATGGAATTATTGACATAAGAAACACATTGTAAACTTCCAGGCAAAAATGCAAGGTTGATTCCCAAATGAAATACCAAGTGTTTAGTATCACTGGTTTTGTAATTTTTTTGTCTATCGAGTGACGTAAAAATCCAATATGGCATCCATTTAAAATAAGGAAGTTGATGTCAATATCTCGAAAACCGCCAATTTTTTTTTCTAGACCCTTTGAATTTATCCCATCGAATCTTATATTTGAAACTTTTTTCGATAACTCTCTTTGTTTCTAAAAAAATTAAATTTTTTAAAATGGCGATTTTCACGTTTTTCCAATTATGTACGAAACGAATTATTTTTTTCAAAATATCGCATCGGAATATCCATCAGTATCAAAAACTACACAACTTTGCCAATTTAACCGAATCTGTAACTATAGTAGTAACAATAGCCAGGTTATCCTACTCAATTTAAGGCACCCTGTATAGGTAAGCATCTTTGAAGCTCTATATCTATTTAAATAATAATTTCCCAAAAAAGAAGTAAATATCAAATTTGTCTAAAATTGCAGTTAATAATTTCTAATATTAGTTTTTTTTAAAGCGGTCTTCTAGAAAGATATGATTGAGAAAGTAAGAAACCAACCAACAGATATTCAATATTTGAATGGGCACCTCCCCTTTTGTGAAGGAAGAGTTTGACATTTTTAGTAATGTACATTTATTGCAGTGAAAATAAAGAAGTATTTCCATAACGTAGTCCTTGTCAGAGATTAGCACCTGGAGGTAAGCAAACATCTATTAACAGTGTGCTGAAGACCGCCGGTTTGGTTTACCCCCACAAAAGTGATCACGTTGGAATCGAACGAAGGAACTGCACGAAATATAATGGGTGCCGCGAAAAGAGTTGTGCATAAATTATTTATTGTTTGAATCTGAGAGGGGCCGTAAAAGTAAGGAGCGCATAAAGGAGGTTTCGGGATTTTTTTTGAGGAAAATCTGATGAATATATTGACTATTTCTTAATGATCTATTGATAATGATTGTATAAACTCACTAAAAATGTGATTCAAAATCATTGGGGATCAAATGTTTAAACTGAAATGAATTTGGACACAAAGCAAGCGAGTGTAAACAAAAGAAGAAAAACGGTGTACATGTGTGTAACTCGAAAAATGTTAAAATATTAGATTTAACGAAGAGAAAGACGTTTACTTACTACAAATATTTATTCATCTACGGTAAAACAACGGAAGGTTTTATCGATCTCGGAAGTGACCATGAAACAAACCAACTGAAGTACCTACCAAGTAAAGTTGTGCCGATTGAGAAGACAAGAACGATGCTATTTGTAATCGCGAGTAGGGTATATCTACGGACGTGGTTGAAATGAAGATTGAGTTAACAAGTAGAGAGGTTATTAAATATAGACCGTATCGTGCGCCGTATTCGGCCCATGGTGGAATAAATAGAACGTTAGATGAACTTTTAAATGCGGGAATGATACAGGAATCGAATTCTGCGTACGCAAGTCCCGTTGTGTTAGTTGCTAAAAAGGAAATTTTGCCCATTTCAAGCACTGGGTAGGTTGTTTCCACATGGCTAGATCAAAACCAGACTGCTTTACTGACTAATAGCAAAAATTCAGGGGTTTAAGTGTATTTTTTGTTCCACTAGCGACGTTTTGCTAATTTTCTGTGATGCAAGACGTTTTTGTAATCGTTAACAATGGACGGGAACATATTTTTTGGAAATATGATGTACCTTACGTAACGTGCAATTGCTTCAATACACTATTGGTACGAATTAAGGTGGCCATTCAAATCGTTTTTCACGTTCTGTTACAATGTTGCTTATTAGATTGCTCCGTCGAGCATAAATTTCTCTTCGTATATATATAACACCAGCAAATGTGTAAGAGCACTCATCAAAATGAAGGCTTTTATTGTACTCTCCGCTTGCTTCGTCGGGTTTGCTGCCTCGGTATGTTTGAAATACTTAAACAATATTTTATTAATCAATTGCTTTTAGCAAGGCGCTACTAAGTACATGACAACGTTCATGGCATGCATGGATGACTTAGGTATCGATAGATCGACTTTGACCGAAGCCATGAAAAACAACCCACTTGACCAACCAAAACTGCATGAATTGAGTGAATGCGTTTTCAAGAAGATTGGTGCCTTAAACGACGACGGCACATTTGATTTTACGGAATGTAAGGCGCAATGTGAAGCGGAGCATAATATGGATTGCTCATTTCTCACAAAGTGTCTAAACTTTAAAGGAGCAAATGAAAGTCAAAGATTGGTCGGCGTCTTTTTATGCGGGACCAAAAGTTATGCTGATTTATTGGCCAAACAGCAGCGAGATGGTTAGTGTGCCGCAATTTATTTTTCAGTCTGCTTTAAATAAAGATTGTTAAACATTGACTTGTTGACTCATTGTACGCGTGTCTTGCCCGCACTTTTGATTTTATATAGATCCTAGTTAAATGCGCTAAAAAACACGAGGAAGATATACACTTTTTAGTTCATTTTTGCAAATTTATTTGTAAAAAGGTAGCTTTTAATCTCTTTGGCCGGCTGGCAGCAAATGTGAGCCCTTATAAGAACACTTGTAGAAAGACAAGGAGTGTGCGTGTACCTATAGGGGCCATGTAATTAACAACTTTAGGGACGGGGCTACATGATGTGGGGCGACATCCGAGCGTGCTATACTACCGTGGTGATTTTTGTGCCCAAGTTTCTTAGAGCTCGAATCGAGATCTCTCTTTCTCGTACCGCCAATAGAAGCTGCAGCTATGAGAACTGCCCCCAAAAATTGAGTACTATGTGATTGTGATTGCCCCCGACAGGCGACAAGATCTTACTGATGGTAGAGTCAAAACTGAAAACGCGAGGACTTTGATAATATAGTGATAGTATAGATAAGTAAATATAGAAAATAAAAATACACGTAAAAACGCCACCAATAGACGACGACTGTTGTTAAAACCATGTTTGCCTATGCCTTAAGTAAAAAACACTAACAAATTAAACGGACCACAGTTATTCTGGTCACATGATATGTATACCGTTTCGTACGAATAGTAGGCTCGCCTCGAGTTATTAACGATAAACGTGACCGAGACAAAAATGCAGTGAAAACAAAAGATGCTGATTTACTATTGGTTTAAGGGGGACGCCGGCCGCAGAAATTTCGTTGGTTCCGTTTTGTCTTCATATAAATAGCGAAGCGCAAAGAAAAAAGAAGACCGGTAGCGATTGAAATGGCTGCAAAAGCAGGATTAGTAAAAAAAATAATTAGTGGCCGCGTGAGTACAGAGTGCAATTACGTTGTAAAACGCGCAGTTTTTCGATGTTCAAGTTATAAATAATACGCTGCGTTGAAATTAATCGGATAACAAATGGCGTATTAGTTTATAGAAAAGGAATAATCGTTTAATTGCGAAGATTTGAGTGAAGAAATTAAATTATGCGTTTACCATACCAACGGTCTAATAAAAGAAGGTTGACGCGTTGGCAAACCAAAGCGCGGATAAAACCGCAATAACCGTGTTGATTATTATTTGTTATTTAATTATTATTTTGTATATTATTTATTTACCTCTCTTGTTCTGGGCCCTCAACATGCTTTCGTCCAATTACAGAGTGACCCGCATAATGGTTTTTAGAGGTGCCTCTGCAGAAGGGCTTAAGTTGTTCTATACTATACTCTGGTATTTACCTGACGAACTAGGAAAACTGCAGGAAAGCCTAGTTCGGAGTAGTCGACAGAATGCTCGAAACTGGTCTAAAGAAATTCCCATCTCTGTCACACCCCCCCACCTCCGGATTTATAACCCAACGCTCGACCATTGAATCACAAAGTCAGTTTTGAGCTCTGTATAAACAAACGAGAATTTATTCAACCTGAGACGAGACGCATTCGTTCAAGTCTCGAAAAGGAGCTGTTTCCTTCCCCCAATATTCAGATTGACCAGCCCCTATGAATAATCGCCCCATTAAGCGACCGTACTAAGAGTAAAATTGTAATTCAGTTTCAAGTGTACCTACTTCAAAGGCGTTAATTGTCTTTTTTGATGTTTTGCTATTTTTCTGTGATGCAAGACGTTTTTGTACTCGTTAACAAAGGATGGGAACACTTTTTTTGGAAATATGATGTATATTTACATTACACAACGTGCAATTGCTTCAATATACTATTGGTACCAATTAAGGTGGCCATTCAAATCGTTTTTTTTCGGTCGAGCAACAATAGGTAATATAACACTAACAAATGTGTAAAAACACTCATTAAAATGAAGGCTTTTATTGTACTCTACGCTTGCTTCATCTGCATCGGTATGTAACCACAGTATGAAACACGTAAACAGTAAGTAATTTATTAATCATTTGCTTGCAGCAAGATGTTTATGAATACATGCGGACGTTCACCAAATGCATGAGCAATTTAGGTTTTAATAGATCGGCGTTCATCGAAGCTATGGAAACACACCCACTTGACCATCCAAAATTGCACACATTTAGTCAATGCGTTTTGAAGGGGATCGGTGCCTTAAAAGAAGATGGGACACTTGATTTTACGGAATGTAAAGCAAAATGTGAGAAGGAGCATAGTATGGATTGCTCATTCATACAGAATGTGAAAAGTTTGAAGGAGATAATGACCACCAAACACAGGTCGGTATATTTTTATGCGAAACAGAAAATTATACCAAACTATTTCGGAAAATCAAGCAAGCACAAAGTTAGTTCGTGTGCCGCACTTTATTTTTGTCTGTTTTAAATAAATATAGTTAAACATTGACTTCTTGGCTCACTGTACGCGTAAGTCTAAAGGGTAAAGTATAGGCATTTTTACCCACTTGGATGCCTTCCCGCTTTTTGCTCACATTTTTGATTTTGTATAGATTCTAATTAAATGATATTAAAAAAACGAGGAAAACATACACTCTCATTGTTTAAAAGGCGCTAAAAATCTTCTTGCAAAAAAAACGCTTTGAGAAGAGGAGTCTAGGTAGTACCTACAAGTTTTGGATAAGGGCTTTGGGTACGCCTTGGGGTATACAGTCTGTTCAACAAAAAGGACCCAGGTTATAGTGCTTTTAATTATGATTTTACGAAAAATGTTCCGATATATATCCGATCGAATATTAAAGTTTTGTTTTTCTTTGTAAGATAGTCAGTTCTGTCAGTTATAAAGTTTTGTAGTACAGTGTGTGTTAACGTAACACGAAGAAAAGTGAATTTTAGTCGAGTTAAACAGTAGCGTTTACAAAGAAGTTTAGTCGGACTGCTGTGGTTATTAAGCGTTTGTGGCATAAGAGACTGTCTGCAAGTACAAATTAAAAGAAATTTTTTCACCCACAAAAGGCCAACGAAGTCGGTGTCGTCTAAATCGTGTTATAAGTAAAGTCAAAGAAGTTTAGAAGCATCGTCAGTTAGCGTTTGTGTTATGTGTTAGTGCGTCTGTTTGTTCAAAAGTGCAATTATGACCGAATGATAAGGATTATTAACTAATTTAATTTTATCTGTTCTATTGACCACTTGTTTCGTGGTGTGCTTTATCTGGCCCTGAAGACCATTTCTTTCAGCTTATTTGATTGATTGACATTGAATAAATTTTGATTCATCTTCCTCTTAACTTCCCTATACTTCCCCGTACTTCCCTTTACTTCCTCATACTTCTCCTTACTTCCCAGTACTTCCCCCAAACTTCCCTTGTACTTTCCCGAAATTCCACCGTAAGTAGACATTGATATAGACTTTAGATTTGCTTTTTCAATGTTATACGTAGTAACAGTTATAAACAACGTGTCCACGAAAATGCATTGTATGCGAAATGCGAATGGATGTGAAATGAATACTATACATGAGATGAAAAATTACATAAGTGTTAATCATTACTTATTTTCACACATACCTATTTAATATTTACCTTTGTATTTACATGAGGTTTGAAAGAATTTTTAATATGAAAGAAAATAAGACATAAATAATTGTCCTGCCAGCATTTATTGCTAAATTTTATAATAACACATATACGGATCAATAATAATATTCATAGATGGATATTTAATAATACTAATTTATCAGTAATCACGCAAACCGTTACCTCAAAGTATTCAGACTCCCATTAATAATTGAAATCGGAAAATGTGCATCCTAACATAGTTTTCCATGATCCATCGAAAGAAAATGTTATCATCATTGTGTGACTTCCAGTTTTACCGGATGTGGATAGCAACTTTCTTATTTTAAATAGAACACCCTATATTGTATTTCCGGCATCTACATGAAGATCTACGTCGTTTGATACCACATTTCCCTACACCCAGCATCAAAGGTTTTCAAGCTATTCAAGATTTTTCAAAATTTCTGTTTAAGTCATTATAAGGTTAGGGGTTGATATTATTGATATTTTATGTGATTCTATGTAATAGTACATTATATACCAAGGTAGAGAAGTCTAGTATTATTGCCTAAGTACGAAGATTACACCCTGAGGCGCTTGCGCCGAGGGATGTAAGGTGCGTAGTAGACTTCTCTATCGTAGTGTCATTGAGTAGGATAACATGGCTATCTTTGTTATTATTATACTTACAAATTCGGTTAAATTGGCAAAGTTTACGTGTAGACTTTGATGTTGATGCAGATTCCGATGCCATATTTTGAAAAAAATAATTCGTTTCGTAGATAATTGGAAAAATGTGAAAATCGCCATGTTCAAAGTAACAAAAAGAGCTATCGAAAAAAGTTTCAAATAAAGTTGCAAGATTCGATCGGTTAATTCAACGGATATTCAATAGAATTTTTTTTCAAAATGGCGGTTATCGAGATATTTCCTTGTTTTGAATGGACGCCATATTGGATTTTTAAGTCACTCCATAGAGAAAAAATTACAAAACCAGTGATACTAAACACTTAGTATTTCATTTGGGAATCAACCTTGCATTTTTGCCTCGAAGTTTAAAATGTATTTCTTATGGCAATAATTCCATGGCCGATTGTGATTGAAACTAAATTCGTTCGTTAGTTGTCTCGCTCACTGGTTTTGTATTTTTGTTTCTATCGAGCGATGTAAAAGTCAAATATGGCGTCCATTTAAGGTAAGGAAGTTGATGTCAATATCTGGAAATCCGCCATTTTGAAATTTTTTTTCTACGCCCATTGAATTTATCCCATCGAATCTTGCACCTTTTATTTGAAACTTTTTTCGATAGCTCTGTTACTCAAATATTAGAATTTTTTTTAAATGGCGATTTCTCATTTTTTATCAATTACCTACGAAACGATTTATTTTTTCAAAATCTCGCATCGGAATATCCATTAGCATCAAAAACTATACAACTTTTCCAATTTAACCAAATCTGTAAGTATAATAATAACAAAGATGGCCATGTTAGGTATCTACTCAATTTAAGACATGCTGTATACTACTTTTTTCACTACTACTAACGGGCGATCAAAAATGAGTTACTGTCGAGTCGCCTTTGGAAATTCAAGTTAAGTACGATTTACCATGTAAACAAAAACTCCAAAGGTGACTCGACAGCAAATCATTTTTGATCGCATAGTACTTGAAGTCCTCTAAATTAACAGATCTATATTGTTAAAAAAGTGAACGGTTGAACAGAATTTTTGGTTTATTAATTTAACATGTCAATTAAGTGGGTGGAAGCAACAGTCAAGAAGGCCGAATTTTGTTCTGTTATTGAGATATTTTCAAAGAGTAATTTCGTTCGAATTGTTTCAAGATGTGATAATTTTAAGTATGTAATTTCTCTGAAACTGACGGATAGTGGCAATTATTCATTTTAGAGAACTTATCGGAACGTTTATTGAGGGAAATTTCGGGTTGTGGTTTCTAAAAGTGACAGCGTGACAGTTCTCATTATTGACTACTGGTTAATAATGACCACATTATTAACTACTTTGAACAACTGGCGAGAAACCCTGCTCTACAAGTGGAAAAAAGGTTAATAATCATGTTATCAGACGCTAGTAGTGAAAAAATAGGTTTTGATTTTAGGTATCTATATAGATAATCCCAATCATAGGTGTTGACTTTTTTGGAACGAAGCGGGATTTATGCACTCAGAAATAGCTGCCTTATTACTTTTCAAGTATTTACCTCTCAGATTTTACCTCTCCGATCACCTTCTGTCACATTTCGCATCTTATGAACAAATGAATACTTCCTCTTTACTTCCCATATACTTCCCCGTACTTCCTTGGACTTCCAGTACTTCTCCGAACTTTCCTGTACTTCCTCATAACTTCCTACATTCTGTACAATTACTTCCCCTGGTGTTTACCCCCTGCATGGCTGTCTCTCTATTCTCCTCACTCTCAAGGTACACCTACATTTGCTTCTGCACTTTTTACTGGTGGAAACTTCCACTAGGAACGGTCTTAATTGTCCATTTTCCAATTGCTGATAGTGTTTCTGTCCCTGCTGAACTTGATGCCCTATAGTGCCTTCAACTCTTCAAAGTCCACGAAGTACTCCATATTGTTTGTAACATGCTTCGTTGCATGATTGTCAATCCATGAAGTTATATTTGCTTTTCCACAATTATGCTTCTGATGCTTCTTGCGGTTTTCTTGGTCTGCCATCTTCCTTCCACTTCTTGCATTTTCTCAGCCAATGACCTGGCTGTTTGCAATAGTTGCACTTACTGTTTTGTAACTTTTTTAAATCTTCTTTTGCAACTCTGCTGCAAATGCTTTTAGTGAAAATTTGAAGTCTCTAGCTATTGTAATCGCTGAAATCTCAGCCGGACAGCCAGCCAGCCAGCCATAACGAACATAATAGCGTACTTTTTTCCAAAAATGCGCTAAAATGGTGCGTTTGTGTGCGTTCGCTTACCTCTGGTAAGATTACATTTAATGATATTTAACAACCAGGTGACTAGTAAATGCCTTATTATAATAATTTCTGTTCCGTGAAGCATGAACCTCTTTTTGTATATATTTAGGCTACAGATACTAACCTTATTTAGCAAAATGAGTGCTATTATTATTATCTTCGTTTGCTTCATCAGACTCACTTTATCTGTATACATACACCTACTCAGCGGCAAAAGTAATTCCATTCGTTTTTCTAGCAAGACCCTAACGAATTCTCGAAGGCGAAGAAAGGATGTACGCGGATTACAGGGGTGGACGAAAAGTTTCTGGATAAGGTGTCATTAAAACAAGCGTTTAAGTACCCGAAAATGCACCAGTTCACTGAATGTGTTTTGAAAGCGATTGGTGGTTTGAAAGAAGACGGTACACTAGACTTTGACACATGTCAAGAGAATTGTGACGAATCGGGTAAAATAGAATGTTCATTCATTGAGGACTGTGGAAAGAGAAGGGAAGATACAAACCAAAACACATATGTTAGCATCTTTTGGTGTTTGGATCAATGTTTCTATCTGTATGTTAATAAAGTACGTATGTGATAAACATTTAAACAAATATGTAGTACATAGCTTAATCTGTTCATCCCATCAACTCCAACTTTGGAATGCATGCCTTACTGTAACTTTTCTTTTATAACAACAACAACACAATTTGAATAAAGTACTGACATTATAAAGTTATTTGTATACAGGGTGGCAATTTGAAAACTTACCACCCCCCATGTCTTAGTAAATAAACGAGATATTTAAAAAAATCAAAATCACAATGATATAGTTGGCCACGCACCCCCTCCAACCCCCTGCGCCCCAGCCACCCCAACTTTTAAATCTTAAATAGTGACCCCCCATGTGTGATACGTCGTTGGAAAACTCTGAAAAAATGCTTTCCAACCATACCAAATAGCATTACATTTAGGTTAGTAATTATCGTGCAAATCAAAAAATAAACTAATATGATACATTTTCTAAAGTTGGCTTTTATTTCAATAAATAATGTTCAAAATGGTTTCCGTTATTGGTAAGACAGTAGTACAATCTATTCTCAAACTCTTGTCGAACCTTTTCAAAGGTTGGTTTTGCAATATTTCGACATTCTTGAATTATTCTCTGTCACATTGGACTTTCTTCTTGCATTTGCAAAGTTTCAAGCATCTGAAGCAATTATTTTTCTCAATCACTATTTTCTGCTTATAAAAATGTAGATATTCTTCCCCAACACATTTGATAACAATCCGGGAGCTGTGGGAGCTTAATCTTCTTGAATGTTGCTTATTATATACTGGCGTTCTCCCCTCCTACCATTACATTTCAATTGTTATTGTGGCGATGTAGTTGACTAAAACCCTTCCTTCACATTCAAGGGAAATATGCATTCAATTCTTTACGTCTCCATCCACCTAGATACCTACGGCCTAAATTGAGATCAACCTATTACATGCTCAATGGTTTAATATAAATATAGATGTACGTACTAGGTATATATATTTACATAACCAAAGCTTATAAATGGAAATCGGCCGTGACCCCGACCATTTAAATCATTATTTCGATTGGGTATTCAATACCAAAATTACTCGTTCAACAATTTTCGTTATTAGAAGGCTCTGTGGAGCATACCTAACCAGCAACGGCACATTTCACAACATGATCACATTTGTTATAGTCATTGCTTGTCTTCTCAGTCTTACTCGATCGGTAAGTATAGCAACACAATATCAAAGTGAGAAAAAATAAATCGATTGTAGCAAGGCCCTCAAGAGTTTTCAGAGAAATGAGTGCATGCAAATTTCGCGATTGGATAGAAACTTCTTTAAGAAGGCGACATTAAAGGATGCGCTCGAAGAGCCGAGAATGCACAAATACAGCGAATGTCTGCTGAGAAAAATGAAAGGTCTGAGACAAGACGGGACGGTCGACTTAAGTCCATGTCAGGAAAAATGCGAGGATGTCGGCGAGTTCGACTGCTCTTTCTTCGATGGATGCGAAAAACAAGGGGGAGATTTTTCTACAAATTCTTACATTAAGATCGTTCGATGCTTGCATGTGTCTTACGCCATTTACTGCAGTACCAAAGAAAACATGGTTTAATAAGTAGTTATCCGGTACCATTGACCAATGAGTGAAAAAATTTTCTAAAGGTTTAGTTCTTTTTCCTTGGCTTATAATAAATAGGAGCTATTTTGCTCTTTTGTGAAATACTCGTTTTGAAGCACTAGGAATCCGAATCGAACAAAATGTTTATTATGTCGATCTGTACTCTCATTGCGGAACTGATTGGAACACATTCTTAAACATAAAAGGGCAGAATCGCACATGCGCAGATGTGCGGGTGGTACCTGGGCTCGCCGTAGCAATTTTTTTGGTTTAATATCTGTGATGTGTTTGATGTTTGTGAAGGTGATTAACACTTAAAAAATTTGCTGTGGCTAACACAGATACCACCCGCACGTCTGCGTATGCGTCTGCCCAAAATCTTTTCAGCTCTTTCTTTTATGGGTACCAAATTTCGTTCCAATCGGTTCAGCCGTTTAGCGGAAAATGAGAGTACAAACAGGCAGACCGACAGACCAATCGACATCATCAAGGTTTTGTTTGATTCGGATTACGGATGCTCTAAAGCGTGTTTTTCTGTAAAAAAAAAAGTGGAGGGGGAGGTCAATTTTTGGTAAAAATAGATCATCCACTTCTACCAGTACCATGACAACAATGAGGGCCCAAAACAAGAGAGGGATAATAATAATAATAATAATAATAATGACAGAGGTTAAACGCTTCCATTGCACTCGAATTGTTTGTGGAGGGCCTGAGCCTGTATATACATGGTCCTGCAACAATGCGTCGGTTTTCCTAGCTCACACCTGGTAAAAAATATATAAAAAACCTTCTGTGAAAATAGATTGTTGCGCATCTACAAAAATTATTTTTGATTCTAGATTTAAAGTTCTGGAAGACGTGTTTCTGGGTTTAAATCGGTGTTATTGCGAGGTCAACCTGTCATAAAAAGTTTTTCTAATCGGAAAGTGTGAATAAAGTGTTTTCACCGAACAAACGCACTTAATCAGTGACTTTAACAGCTGTTTTGGCACTTTTAAGTGATCACAGGTAATTCCAAAACCATAATATTCAATCGAGCGCAGTATCAGCGCTATCACGGACACCTTTAACCCATTACCTTACGATTATTTTTCAACGTGTATAAATATGATTTATAATAACACCTAATCGTTATCAAATCGCAGTCATGTATACACCTTCCCAAGCTACTCCATGCACTTCTGACAACAGGGGTGGGCAGGGGTTAAAAGATTCTACGGTACCTCCAGAAAATCAACGATACACACAAACCTCAAGATCCTTTTCAAATGTCGTGGCCCATTCATCTTTTCCTAAAAAGGATCAAGCTATAGGTAATATATCCATCAATAGAAGGATGCAATGTGAAAGACTATGTTCTTGCAACTGGGAAAATTGTCGGTCCCAAAAACGTATTGTTTGCCTCACGCATGAGTAACAACCGCGATTGCATATACCTATGAGATGATTGTCGGCAAGCTTTCATTGATCACCAAATATTAACGCTTCCATCTATTTTTATTTTTACTTGTCTTTGTTTTGTTAAGCGCAATGAACATTATTTTGTTAAAAATTGCGATGTTCATAATTATGACACCCGCAACAAATTAAATGCATTTGTCCCTTTTTGCCGTTTAAGTAAGACGCAAAACAGTTTTGATTATATCAATATAAAAATGTATAATTATATTCCTCCCAATATTAAGGCTTTGCCTTTTAATTTATTCACATCAAGAACTAAAGCATTTCTTATTGATAAAGCGTTTTACTCGTATGAGGAATTTTTCAGTACATAGTTCTTTTTGTTATAATTTTGTTTGTTCTTACATTTGTAATATTTTTATTTTGCTTTTGTATTGACTTATGTATGTAGGCTGTTCTACAAAACATTAAATAAGCTTTATTATTATTATTATTTATTATTATTATCTTCAAAAGAAACTGCTCAAAACTTTATTGAGGAATCTGGTGGAGTAAACATCAACAACATATTTGTACCTGCTAGAAAATTTTACCGGCTAAACGAATTATTTTGTCAAACGTTGCACCTTGTATTCCGCACTACATACTGGAAGATGAACTAAAGAGAATCCCTTTGCAATTGGTTTCCCCGATTTCATTTATTGGAGCGGGAATTGGTCTTGATGAGTATGCACATGTCTATAGTTTTAGGCGACAGATTTTTATTGCAACAAACCCTGACAAGCCGAACGACTTCCCTTCATCCATTGTTTTGGATTATGAGGACGAGCAATATAGAATCTTTCTCTCTGATGAAAAAGTGAAATGCTTTCGATGTAATGAATATGGACATATTGCTTCTAAATGTACGCTACAAGAAGTCAACCTTGTGCACAAGATGAGACAGTACGTAATGGCACTAAAAGGCCCCATCCGCCTACCGCCCCTTCCACCGAGGTCATATCTCTAGATCAAGTAAGTGAAATACGGAGTGTTCAGGACGATTTGAACAAGGACATCGACGCACGCAGTGAATCAGAAGTAAGCGATTCTTCCATCGAACAGGTAGTTGTTGAAGATAACTTCCTAGTTCCCAATAATTGTTTAGCTATTCGAAACTCAAAAAAACGTAGAGTTGAACGGTCGTCACCTGAAACCCATGATGAAATTCAGCACCTCTGGGAAAAAAATAACTTCTGTCTAGATTTCGTAACGTTTACTGATTTTCTTAATCAAGGTACCTGTAACCCACTAGATGTTGCAAGAAGGTTCACGAATAATATCGATGATCTCTTAACATTGATTAAAGAAGCAATTCCTTACTTCGCACAACGAGCGACAAAGGAGCGTTGCAAACGCATAATATCAAATATCAAACGAGACTTACAGAAAGAAGGCAGCGTGCAACAATCTGCAGTGCATCATCATCAGGTGGTAACTTCTGAGTCCGAGCGCACGCCGTCCGTTGAAAGCCTCACCTTTTAAAGGAATATGCAGGAAAATAATTACGCTCATTACACTCAACACAAAAAGTTTAAGAACAGAATTCACAATTCACAATCACAATCTTCGCGTGTGTCACGTAAACATTCGTTCATTAAATTCATGTTTCCATGAGTTCTGTGACTACATCACCCAAGAAAACTTTCAACTAATCGCAATATCTGAAACCTGGCTCTCTTCTGACATGCCTGATTATTTGTATACTTTACCTAATTACTCTCTTGTTAGACGAGATAGACCGTCTAAAGGAGGTGGAGTTTGCTGGTATATTGTCTCACACATTAAGTTCAAATTAATTGATATACCTCTTCCAAAAGGTTCAACTTTGGAGCAATTATGGCTGAAAATCTGCGTCAATAAAATAAACGTTGGTGTTGGTGTCGTCTATATCCCTCCGGAACCATTTTCACGAAGCACTGCCCTAAATGAACTAGAAGTATCCTTATCTGAAATTTGCTTACACGTTGACCAGCTCTTGCTTGTTGGCGACCTCAATACAGACATATACAAAACTAGCATGCGAGATCAAAAGCATCTGATGGGAATTCTGGATATGTATCAAATGAAACAAATAGTTGAGGAACCTACGCGTGTCACCGCTTCTTCGCATACACTGATAGACTTGATTTGCATTAGTCAGGAAATATCTGCAGAAAAGGTGGGTACAGTTGACCTACACATGACAGACCATCGACTTACATTTTGCGAAATTGAGATCCCTGTAAAGATTCCTGAGGCGCGAACTATTACTTATCGTGATTTTAGTCTGTTTGATCCAGTACTTTTTGCTCGAGACGCTGGCAACATGCATTGGGATTTTATTCAAGAATTAAGCGAAGTTGATGCTAAAATTTCTTTTCTAAATGAGGCCATTTTGTTTTTATTCGACATGCATGCACCTCTGAAGACAATAACCTGCAATAGGAGACGAAATCGGCCTTACATAACTCAAACAGTGATTGAAATGATTCGTCTAAAGGACAAAGCATATAAAAAGTTTTTAAAATCCAAATCAGTGAGTGATTATCGTTATTTCAAAAGTTTAAGAAACGTGTGTACGGCCGCTATACGAAGAGAAAAGGAAAGTTATGTAAAGTATGTTTTAGAACTAAATTCGAATAACCCACAAAAGCTTTGGAGAACCCTTCAAAACCTCCAAATCCATAGGCCTAATAAACCTCAAATTCCGCCAGGTCTTTGTCGCCCTTCAGACCTTAATCAATATTTCATTAATTCAATAAATCCACCAAACATTGACGATAACCTTTTGCATTTCTACAACAACAACTGTAAAAGAGATGTGATGGATAAATTTGACTTAAAAGCAGTTAGTGAACTCGACGTATCTAAAATAATTAAAAAACTAAAGTCAAATGCGACGGGAATTGACAACATTAACTTAAAGCTTTTAAAACTTGTTGCCCCCTATTGCATCAGCGATATAACGCACATTATTAACACTTCCCTCAGTCACTCAGTAGTACCATCTCTATGGAAGAACTTCATTATAATTCCTGTTCCTAAAATTTCAAGCCCAACTTCCATGAGCGACCTGCGTCCAATCAGTATATTACCGACCCTTTCAAAAATTCTGGAAAGAGTAGTGTACGAACAATTACATCAACATGTCCACCGATATATCATCCCCAACGTTCAATCAGGATTTCGGCCATTTCACAGTACAAACACAGCACTTCTCAAAATTACTAACGACATTGCTACAGCAATTGATCAAACGGACGTCACCCTACTGGTACTAATGGACTACAGCAAAGCATTTGATGTGATTAAGCATAAATTACTTCTTGCCAAATTGGCATACTACGGACTCTCTGCCAACTCAATCAAATGGTTCTGTAGTTATCTAGATAACAGAACGCAGTGCGTAAAACTTTATGGTGAGATCTCCAATGAAGTTAAGATTCTAAAAGGAGTACCACAAGGCAGTATACTTGCCCCTTTGTTGTTTATAATTTTTACTTCTGATGTACCGCTGTCACTTACCGACGCCTGTACTGTTCATCTATATGCGGACGATACGCAAATGTATACATCGTGTAATCCGTCTCGAGTGAATCAAGCAGTGCATACTTTAAACAACAATTTGCGTCTTGTTTCGGAGTGGTCTGTCGCAAATGGTTTGATTCTAAATCCGACTAAAACAATAGCTATGTGTATTGGTGGTAAAACTTCACGTGAACGCGCATTAGAGCACTTAAGTGAGCAAATAAAAGTAGGTGGCGTAACTGTTCCGCTTAGTGATGTGGGGAAGAATCTGGGGGTGTGGTTTGATAAACATTTAAATTTTGAAAAACACGTATCTAAAATGTTGCAGGTATCTTTTGCGAAGTTCAAATATATTTATAAATTTAAAAAAGGTGTTGTCGTCTTCATTGAAATGGTCTTTAGCCACAAGCCTAGTTATGAGTAACTTCAATTACTGCAGCATTGTATATTACAGTTTTCTTACAAAGGTGTATAGGAACAAAATTCAAATGTTACAAAACATTTGTTTACGTTACTCTTTTAGTATTAACTATAGTGCACATGTTACGCCATATTATTACAAAAACTCAATCTTAAAAATGGAAGAAGCGTTTTGTTTACAATACGTTAGGTTTTTATATAATCTACTTGTAAATAAAAGTCCAGGTTACTTATACAGCCAGTTGATTTTGCGATCTGATTTGCATAGCGTGAATACAAGGTTCAAACATTTGTACAATATTCCAGCCCATAGAACTTCAAAATATGAATGTAGCTACTCAGTAGTAGCGCCCACTTTGTTAAATAAATATATTCAAGGGGGAGACATTAACAGTAAGAATTTTTTTAAAAATAATCTGAAACCGCAAATGATCGAATAGTAACCATTGAATAACTTTGACTCAACGATATTATACTTAACTATTTCATTTACATCTATTTAACATTATTTGTAAGTTATCTTTCTGTTATTATAGTTTATCTTCTTTCTTTTATATTGTACTTAAAATTAAGTTTGTTTAATTTATCTGTACTGGAGTGGAAGAACAGGTTTGGCTGAACTCCTACCATTTGTGTTTTTCACAATAAACATTATTATTATTATTATTAATGTCCCATGTTTACGGTGTCAATAAACAACTGATTTTTTTAACGGAACATCCTATATATTTTTAGTTGTTTCGATGTCATTTTTTAACATCTGCGTGTAAACCTATTGACTTTTTGATTGTTTGTCAATGTTTCCAAATTATTAATCTTTTTCCGAATAATTCCCCATAAGCAAGCCCCACTGTGATAAATCGTATCGTAGCGACCTTGATTTTAAAGTTAAGAAATACATTTGATCAATAATGTTAATCTGAATAAAAGGCAACACTTTGGTAATGAGAAAGTTGGATTTAGTGATACAGGGTGTTCACAAAAAATAGTAAAATTTCCAAATTTCAAAGTGTCATAACAGTCTTTTGTGTGCTCCTCAATTTTTATAAGGCGTGTCAGTAAAATAATAAAATAAGATTAATTAAAAAGGCGAATTTCGAAAAAGATATACTAGTCATTTTAAATAATCTATTTTTGTGAAAAATATTGAATAACCTAAAAACTCCGCCGTTTAGCAGCAGGACACCCCTTAGAACACACAAAAGACTATTATTTCGTAACTTTAAAATCAAGTGGCTTATAAAGAATTAATAAAAAAATTAATATTTTGGCAATATTGACAAAAAACCAAATAGCGAATAGATTTCCATGCAGAGGTAAAAAATGACAGCTAAAAATATACAGGATGTTCCATTAAAAAAATCAGCTATGCACTGACACCGTAAAAATGGGATACCCTGTACATTCAAAAATAATTTCTGTATATGCGCAACCTCGTGCACAACCATCTATAGTTGACATTTGCACAAAAGATTTTTTATATTTTTTAGGAAAGACCGACGCACTGTTGCAGGACCATGTATAAAACACTCCAATTTAATACACGCTATAAACAGTGTAAAACCTTAAATATTACTAGCTACATATAATAAAATCGCATGTCTTAAGCTGTGGCTAGCTCATAGGGACTCAGCATTTCAGAGCACTCAACCGAGCAGGTGCCTGACTGAAATCGGGATACCGGGTTTACCCGGATATCATTTGCAGTATTCCTGCATCCAGCTTTGCTACCGATGGTGGCAACGTCGCCACTTTGTACTCTAAAATTAACCGTTGTTTCGTCCGACGATCCACCTGCCATTCTCCGAGCTCGAGTATTTGCCAACCACAACTCCTCTTTACCATCGTTGTTGATGATTATCTAAAATTATATTCAAAACACAAGGTTCGTGTAAACGCGGCTCACTTTAAGGCCGTTGATGAATTGCAAACTAGTGAAATTGGAATAAACATTTTTCACAAAGGGGTAGGCGTAAACCATCGACGTGTCCCAGCAGTTTAATGAGGCATGCGACATTAACCCGAAGAAAAGGACACCGTCGCGGCTAACGGCCATGGGAGAGCTCTGGGTTGAGCGTCGTCCACAGAAAGTCTACGAGTAGTCGTGAGGAAAATTAAATGAGGAAACCACTCACTTTAAAGCTGCCAGCCGATTGACTGTTGTTTCTTAATTCCGAACTCAGGATGTAATGCTCCGAGTCACTCGCCAGTGAGTGGTAGAAGAGAACGCGATCTTTCATTTGGTGCAGTGGCGATAAGGCCATTCCTTGTATTCCGTCCATTACCTCGAATTGGGCGCCTGGTTTCAATTTTAGCGAACATTCAAGTTTGATGACTAACCTGCTATGCATAGTACGCCAAAGTCGGGTGATGCATGCATAGTTCTATGGGTCACCCTCCAAGAGCGTTGCCGTGAGACATCGTACACAATTATTGCGAACCCCCTCGTGTCACCTATGTAAATGAAGGTGTCTGTACAACTGGGATTTCTAACATCGGCCAGTACAACAGCCAGTACCGACGTTGACTGAAGTTGAGAGGGTGGAATCTCGTAGCGGTGAATCAGGGAGTCCTAAAAATACGGTTGTTAACAGGCGCAGTCGAGACCCACTTTACCGTTTCCAAGTCGAAGGCCAACACTTGCGGGGGACACTTGTAAGAAGAGGTAAAACCAGAGTCCATCACCCACAGTCGTGAACCGCGCTCGCAACTGTCAACCATAATTCTGAACACTGAGACAATGCGGTCCCTGGGACATGAAGACACGTTGGAATTCCACTGCCATGACGGATAAGGGGCGATTATTGGATTACCCTCGTACGTCCGATCGAGAACTACTCCCAAAGTGGCTGGAACACCATTTGCCAAACGGGGAGTGGTTACAAAAACCCTCCGAGTGTTGTTTTCTGCAATACAAGGGTCAACTCCACTGCCACTTGTTGGTCGAGTTACCGAAATAGTGTACGTCAACGTCGCTTATACGCGAAGCTCCTTTGACAAACTCTCCCTTGCCAATGGCGTACTTCCTCGCATCCAATGAAGGGTAATCATATTCCACATTAATCCATTCGTACACCGGACGTATGATGTCCCCGTTGGTTTGCAACAAGAAGCCTAGGACGCAACAAAACCAATAGCCTAAAACTTGCGCGGCCAATTAAAAATGTGAGAAGAAGTCAATGAACTTTACCTGCAGTCATATTACCAAGGAAATCACAACTAAATACACTTAGTAGAAAACTACCGATGAGCGATTGCTTCCTATTGATAAGAGAGATAAATTATACACTTACTAGAACAACCACCTTCCTACAAATAGGCGGCCCCGGAGGTTTCGCATGCGTGTTAGCAAAACTATAAACAAAGCACCAAGTTTTAAATCACGGACGGAATTCTGGCCGCAGTCGCACAAAAAGAGATCCATGTACCACCCCTCGAAAGGGCCCCAAGTTGGGAGAAGTAATCGGAAATTGCTTTATAAGTTCTTCCTTGGTTGTTAAACGACACGTCAGCAAAAAAGCTGGAATACAGGGATAATAGTGGGATGAAGGTGAATCTTCAAAGTAAAATATTTAGTAACGCAAAGACAGTCTCTTGGTTAAGATCAGCGTTCTTCTGGGAATAGGATCCATAAAAATAAAATAAAATACCAAAATAGCTTACAATAACTATCCAAAGGTTACAGCATTGCACCGGAATCATAAAACTGATTTAGTAGATATTAAAAAGTAAAAAGAGTATTCGTAAACGATTTACAAGAAGCTTATTTCTAGATTAACAGTCTTTGTGCGAAAAAAATTAGTTACTCCAGCCAAATTCGTTTTTAGCCACTTAACCATAATGGCAAACCATTATTTTACCATTTTTTCCCAGCAATACTGGTTAACGAATGCCATTTTGGGGCATTCAAATCTAGACCAAGGGCAAAAATCAAATAAATATTTATATTTACATTTATATTTTAAGTTATTTTTATAATATCCTATTTATGGCTGTCATTTTTCAAAATAAATAACTTTATAATTTAAAAATAAATATTGGGTATAGTAACATTCATTTTATAAAAATCTTCATTTTACAGGGCTTCGGTATTAAGCATTTCGGAAACGCTATGAACCACTCCCTTTTCAAAAAATCAAAGGAAAAAGATAAGACCTCGGATAGGAGGAAACAGGTAAGACACAGAGGAGAACACATCTAGTAGTTAAAATTGTTTACCACACATATAGACGCTTTTTCAGAATTCTTTTTCCAGACCAGTTGTCTTGGCGAACTGGAGGACCATTTTCTGATTATTTGGAGACGCAAGAACATTAGAAATGCTACCCACACTGGAAGAAGCACCTTCTTCCAGTGTGGGTGGCATTTCTAATGTTCTTTTTTTATTCCGGTATCTCGCGCATTCTAACAATAAATGCGAAGCGGTGATTTCAGTGTCGCATAAATCACAGACATCTGGTGTGGTCATTTGGAACAGGTGAGAGTGGGTGGCTCTGGTGTGACCAATTCGAACTCTACTCTTGTTCCGATGGCAGGCCATAGCTCGACTTTGAGTTTCACACGCCGGAGTTTATTGTTATCTTGTTGATCCCATACTCTTCGAAACCACTTCGAACTTTTATTTTGGTATTCTCGGCTAGGATCATGTTGTGGGACTCACCAGAAGTTACAGAGTTCAGCTCTTTCGTTTCCCTCTACTCCTATGTGGAAAGAGACTCATATAAATGTAACTTTCCAGTGAGTCCTATATAGTCCTTGTTGAATTTTAATGTTGCTAGTGTAAAGTCATTCGAATTAGTGATTCTTATTGAGTATTATTTACAGTTTCTATATCCGACTGCATTCGTGTCAGACGTTAGCATTGCTTACGCAATATTTTCTGTACTGCGCTATTCACCACCCCTTTTATTTGTTTGTTGTATTGTTTTCTGTTACAGGAAAGGTTGAACGCGCCCTTTTGAGCTCACAAAGTGCGACCCGAAATTCAAAGATAATTTTTCTATTTGGTCGCCTCCTTGATTACTGGTTTTCAATACAATCGAATTGTAATTATTACATTCCGCGTAAGCTTGTTTTGATATTAACATTTTCTCTGGCTAGGTACGTGTCGATTCCTTTTTTATTACCAAAAATTAATTTAATTTCAAACATTGGCATAGCAGATCTATATGTTACAGTGACCTATTTGTAATCATTGATTATGATTGTGACATCAATTATTGCTTATGTTCTATTCCTATCAAGTATTTTATTCCTTGAGCTTTTCAAGACCTGAACAAAGATCTCTTAGTCTGGCTTGTTTACCCTTTTGGTAAATGTTCTCTCCTCTCTTTTGAAAGAGACTAAAGACTAAGTGGCACCTATCCGGTCTACTATTACTACATGCCCCTTTTGCTTCGTTTGGTAGTGTACAAGAACTCGGATATTCACCCCGACCCACCGCTACTTTGCCTGAGCTTATCGTATGCTTATGTCAAGGTAATTTTGTTACTTTAGTAAGTAAGTTAGGGGTAAAAAACGAAATTCGAGAAAAATTTCAAAGAGCTGTAACTTTTGATCTAGTAGCCCAATTTTGGAACTGTTTGAAATTATGGATTCTACAGGCCACATTCTATAAGAAAAATTTTTTTTCCGGGTCGATCTGAGACAATTTTTTTTCGGGGCTTACAAAAAGGCAGTGTATAACCTTCCTTTTTTGCCAAAAATCGACTGCACCAAAATTTCTCGGGAAAACACTTTTTCTTATTAATTTTGGTGCGTAGAATCCAAAACGATTCGTACTCTTTCGATTAGACTTGTCAATCAAAAGTTAGGGGTAAAAAACGAAATTCGAGAAAAATTTCAAAGCGCTGTAACTTTTGATCTAGTAGCCCAATTTTGGACCTGTTTGAAATTATGGATTCTACAGGCCACATTCTACAGAGTGAGCAACAAAGATTGAAGCGTGCCGCTTCAGCTAAATTGGCAATGTGCCGCTCATAGCATATGCTGATTTGATACAAGATACGAAATACGAATAGACGCACGTCACCGTGACAGCGCAGAACGTCATTTTCGTATACAACTCCATACAAAGAAGGTAGTTTTGATATTAATAGGAACAAGCGGTGATGACGCACGCTTCAATCATTGTTGCTCACTCTGTATAAGAAAATTTTTTTTTCGGGTCGATCTGAGACAATTTTTTTTTCGGGGCTTACAAAAAGGCAGTGTATAACCTTCCTTTTTTTCCAAAAATCGAATGCACCAAAATTTCTCGAGAAAACACTTTTTCTTATTAATTTTGGTGCGTAGAATCCAAAACGATTCGTACTTTTTCGATTAATAATAATACGCTTTTACTCCCCTTAAATTTGTATATAACAATAGAAATATAAAAAAGCTAACCCCATACAAAGTATAACTTGATTTTTTAAGTAGTATTAAGACTTTTATCTAGTATACTATTTTAAATTTTTAATGTAGTTGAGTGACAAGTATTCGAATACTTTTCAAAGTATTCGAATACTTTTTATAGTATTCGAATACAGTCTAAAGTAATTGAAGATTCGCTTGTGCTGGACGTAAAAGTATTTAGTATTCAAATACTTTTTGAAAGTATTCTGCCCAGCTCTGAGTCTGGTACAAGAACCAAAAGAAATAAGAAACGTTTTATAAAAATTTGGACTAAGTTTGGATAAATAAGAAATATTGTTATATAGGTACTTTGGGTTAGGCCATGAATTTCTAATATGAATTTGAAGACTTATTAATACTACCTACGTTGTTTTTATTGCCTTGTGGTAAATTACAAAATCACTAAGTAAATGCTATTGTTGCTGAGTGTAAGGTGATGTAATATCCTAGTAACTGCATTTTTTAAATAAAATGTTTAATGCATGACTTTAGATGTGAGATATTGTTAAAGAATAGTTGAGCATTTCATAAAAGTGGCACATATTCGATTCGCTTCAATAAGCAAGAACTCTTCGCAAAGCGATACAGACTGAAGAACACATTCATACGGAAATAGTATTGAATTTATTTGCCTTTGTAATTCTACGTTATTACAGCAGTGATTATACAATATTTGTTTTCCAAAATGTCAAAGCCACCATCATTTCAGTATTTTATGGTAATGTAGATTTTTCTGGTACTTTTTCACCTTGACAAAGAAGAAAAATGTTACTTCTGCACACTTCCACGCACATCTGAAGTAAGTTAAGGCGAAGAATAATAATAGAGGGATGCACCAAAGAATACCATAATTAAAGAAAAAAAAACATGTTATTAATAAATTAATAGTAAGTACTTATTCCACGCCAATGTATAATTGCAATTACGCTGGGAAATCAAGCCGCGTGCTGTATCGACATAAGTAATTAGTAGTTATTTGTAAAAGAAACCGGAAATTTCGAATTACCCAATACAAATGAAAATTGAAGAAGAGAACAACCAATCAGACTACTCGCTTGGATAACTTTTAATCATCTTCTGTTAAATATATAAATAAATGTGGTACACGCAACAGTGTCCCACGACTTGTATTACCGTATACTTATGACAAATTTTGTGTACGTCAGTGGTGCGTGACAATTTGAACGTCATTAATATGAAAACTGGTAAGTTGTTTTTTTAACATTTTGCGAGGTCCTTGTACTGTGACGTTACTTGTGGATTTGGTACCATTGTGCGAATTACGTGGTAAATCCTCTGAATGAAGCAAGCATGTTGCACTTTGATCTAAATTCTATTATCGAAACGGATAAAATTTTCTACGAAAACGTTTCTGATAAGTTGGCGAGTACCGCAAAGAGTCAACGCGATTCTACAGAAATGGTCGAAGTAACGGGAAACAATAGCAGTATATGGGCAAGTGTGTTTTTGCCTAAATTATGCAAGCTCACGTATACCGAGAAATTTATTGACTTACTCGATGATGTGGATGGTTTTTCCCTGGTTGTGATGTGGGCACGAGTTAAGTGTATCGTGTGGATACCAAATGGGTAGTACTACCCTATTAAAGCATTTCCCGAAAGATATATGGGTTGAGATTTGCAGCAGCCGGTTGCTTGCACTCTTCCCTTAATGAAAGATTTAATATTAAGGGTAGTAGTTCTCGTTTTTCAAAAAACGAAACTGCCGCTGACATATTTAACGTAAAGGTCCGACATTCTCCCGAGCTAATGGAGAAATGTACTTACAACTTTATTTAGAGTGTAGGAGACAGAATCTGAATTAAAATCAATTTAAAAATAGTCGTTTGGTGGTGTAGTTGAAAGCCTGAAACCCTT